TCACCCCTCTCCCCAGCAATTATTCACCTCAGGGGATGTTCTGAAAATACTGAGCCTTATCAATGGCACCCCCGGCGGGTTACCACTGATAACTCACAGTGTTTTGTGGGCTAAACAGGTGAACCGAAACAACGTGCCAGTCCGAAATCTCTCAGTACCCATACCGGTCTACAATGTCGACGGCACCCCCAATGATGCTGGGTCTATTCGCCAAATCGCGGACCTCGTTCTACGGTACAACGGACACTCCGAACGCGTTCAGCTAGCTGTAACCCACCTTGGGAAACAGGATTTGATACTCGGATACTCCTGGCTCAAGAAACACAACCCCGAGATCAACTGGGAAACGAAAGAGGTGAAAATGAGTCGCTGCCCCCGAAGCTGCTCCACTTGCCGCGACGAGGAACGAACCGAGCGCGCTGAGGTTCGGCGCCTCCGACTCCTTAAATCGCGTTTGCTCTCGGGCGCCTTCCCCACCGTTTGCGCTATCGATATTGCCGGCCCAGACGATGCTGACGACGAACCCGGAGCTACTTCGGACCCTCCGAGTCCCTCGCTAGACCTCGACGATGACGAGCATCTTGAAGACGGCGACCGCATCTTCTACACCTCCTTTCGCCCAATCGAGGAGATTCGCGCCGGGAGCACCGTGTCCCAACGCCTTGCAGAGGCCTTCGCCCGTAACTCGGCCCCCCCGCCTTCGGAAATTCCGGACTGGGCCAAGGAGTTCCAAGACGTCCTCGACAAGGAGTCCTTCGACACGTTACCAGAGCGGAGGGCTTGGGACCACGCTATCGAACTCGTTCCCGACGCGAAGCCCGCTAATTGCAAGGTGTATCCGATCTCCCCACTCAAACAGCGCGAACTTGACGAGTTCATCGAGGAGGGACTTGCCACCGGTCGTATCCGCCCTTCGAAATCTCCGATGGCTTCCCCCGTCTTCTTCGTTAAGAAAAAGGACGGAGGACTTCGGTTTGTCCAGAACTACCGCGCCCTCAACGCAATGACGATTAAGAACCGGTACCCCCTCCCGTTGATTAATGACCTTATCAACAGGCTCAAGGGTGCCCGTTATTTCACCAAACTCGACGTTCGTTGGGGCTTCAATAACGTCCGGATTAAAGAAGGAGACGAGTGGAAGGCGGCCTTTCGGACTAACCGAGGGTTGTTCGAACCTTTGGTGATGTATTTTGGCCTGACGAACTCCCCCGCGACTTTCCAAACGATGATGAATGACATTTTCCAGGATCTCATTCTCTCAGGAGACGTCATGATCTACCTCGACGATATCCTTATCGCGCATTCGGACCTCCGTAAGCACCGCGAGATCGTCCGAAGTCCTTCGGCGACTCCGAATGCACAAGCTGTACCTTCGCAAGGAGAAGTGCGACTTGAGAAATCGTCAATCGAGTACCTGGGGGTTATCATCTCTCACAACCACGTCGAAATGGATCCCGTTAAGGTTGCCGGAGTCTCCGCATGGCCTCCGCCCGAGAACAAGAAGGACGTCCAGCAGTTCCTGGGGTTTGCTAATTTCTACCGCAGGTTCATTCGGGATTTCTCGGCCCTAGCGCAACCCCCTCTTCGCTCACCAAGAAAGACCAGAAATGGACCTGGGGAGACGCCGAAGCCGCCGCCTTTCAAGCTATCAAAGACGCGGTCGTCTCAGAGCCCGTCTTAGCGATCCCGGACGACTCCCGGCCTTTCCGACTTGAAGCAGACAGCTCAGATTATGCGACGGGGGCGGTTCTTTCACAACAATCCGCCCCGGACGGGAAGTGGCACCCTGTAGCGTTCTATTCCAAAAGCTTAAATGATGTCCAGCGCAACTACGAGATTCACGACAAGGAGATGCTCGCGATCATCCGCGCACTCGAGGAGTATCGGCATTTCCTCGAGGGCGCCGCGCATCCGGTCGAGATCTGGACTGACCATAAGAATTTGGAGTATTTCCGAAAGGCACAGCACCTTAACCGCCGGCAAGCCCGATGGTCGTTGTACCTTTCTAGGTTTGACTTCACGCTGCACCACGTCCCAGGTCGCCAGATGGGCCGCCCCGACGCTCTCTCCCGCCGGCCTGACCATGGCATCTCCGAAGACAACTCGGACGTCACCCTCTTGCGCCCTGAGCTTTTCCACGTTCGCGCGCTTGAGGCCGTCACTGTCTCTGGGCCTGGGTCCGAGCTTGTCCGCGACATCAAGGAAGTGCTATCCGGTGAGCCTGACCTGGAGGAGCCCGTCGCACTTGCGGCCCGGCAACTCTTGAAGGTCCGAGGTCAAGTTCGGGGCCCCCGCTCATCACGTTCGGACAAGTGGGCTGTCTCGGGCGATCTCTTGTACTTCCGCGGCAAGGTCGTAGTCCCCAAAGACAAGGACCTAAGGAGGCGCATCATCGAGCTCTGCCACGACACGTGAGTCGCCGGACACGCCCGGTCGGTTCAAAACCCTAGAGCTGGTTTCGCGCAACTACTGGTGGCCACAGATGTCCCGTCATATCGGACGCTACGTCGCGACCTGCGACTTGTGCTGCCGCACGAAGGCCCTCCGAAGGCTCCCGCACGGAGAGCTCTGCCCAAGGTCATCAGCGTCACCGTCGCCATTGCGTCGCCAAGTGTCTTGAAGTCGCCCCCCCAGCGAAAAGGCAAAGCCAGAGTCCGTCTGGCACCGCAGAGTACCCGCACGACCACTGCAGTACTCCCCTGACACATCTCCAGGCCAAGCTCACGGTGTCCGAGTCGCGGCTCACGGGCGACATGGGTGACGGAGCAAAGACGCGTCGGCTGACTCAGCATCACGTGCCGCCAATCAACCATATTCTGCTTCCGCTCAGCGTTCATGTCGATGATGTGCGCCGCCGCGCCGACGACGCGTTGGCCGGGAGACTGCCGCCACTAGAGGGCCACCCTCCAATGACCACCGCCACTGGAGAAGGCGAGGTCATGGTGACGCTGCCAGTGTGCGATGTAGGAGGGAAGGGCATGGGCGCTGCCGGAACCCAAGCGTGGCTCATTGTTGTGCGGGTGGGGGAGGAACAAACCGGTGGTTGGGAAGTGCAAAGTGCGTGTTCATTCTTCTGTGTCGTCCTTGGGCTGATTCCCCACCGTCAGCCCCAATAGATGGCCTTTCCCATGGGGCTACTGTTTGCTGACGCTTCTCTGTGTTAACGGCCTGCCCTCTCCCCCATGACCCGCCCGCGACGCCACGACTGCCATGGCTAGTGTCACCAGGGTCCAGTGTCATCCATCTCTGCTTATCTCGCGGACGTTCCCAACAGAATCAGAGATAAAACGAGGTAGCAGGAGCAGGATCCGGGTCGAGGCCTCGCCGCACTGCATCTACGGGAAATGAAGTGTCGTCGTCGGGAGCGACAGAGACCTCCCGATAGACATGAAGGCACGCGGTGTCTTGGTCCCTCTTTGTGTGTGCTAGTCCGTGTCGTCATTCTCCGATTTACAATTTACAGACGCCGCGCTGACGAGTGCTTCCGTGTAGCTTGTCCGAGTCCGGTTGAACGACGACCATCCGGGGACTGCAGCAGCCGCAGCGCGTGACCCTCCCGGCAACCCGCGCATCCCTATCTTCGCCATCGATAAGGCATGGCATCGATATGGCTGCAACGTCGATATCGGACGTATTCGGCGCGGGGCCCGTCCCGCGCAGCGAGATAAAGTTCCCGTGGGCAAAGATGGCGGATGATTGATTATAAGCGGGCTGACGCAGGCTTGCGGATCTTGGAAGCCAAGCATCGATAGACACCGGAACCCCCATCCTGCCCGTGGTTGGACGACGCTGCCCCATTCGAACTTGGCGCATTATGCAGTCTTCATGGCGACATCCGTTATGCTCGCTCTGGCCTGCACAGGATTGAAGCCGCACAGATACCACGACATCGCCTCTGGCGGCGGCAACTTGACGGCGAAATTTCAAATTGGGACACAAAGGGACGCCGGTCGAAAAGAGAGTCGGTGGGATGCACAGCAGCAGAAAGATGGACACTGGCGCCGGGTGCGGGTGCGGACCGGGGCCCGAACTCGGACGCCCACGCGCGAAGCCAAAATAAGGCCGACGCGGGGACACTCGCGACAGCGAGAGGAAATGCTCGCCGACTTTAAAGGCCGGGAGCGGGGTTGAAGTTGAAAAGGGCGGACGTTGGGCTCCCCGAATCCCCGTTGTCGTTCTCAATCTAGGAGTCCTCGGAACGGCAAAGCCAACTAGATACGCATGTAGAGAGAGCAGCGCCGTCGACTTGGCGCCTTCAAGCGCTGCAACGTCATCCGAAGGACCGCCAAATACCGCAAAGGCTGTCATTACTCATTACTGACGTTTGTGCCAATCTGCCGGGACTGTGGAGTGCCGAAACCATCTAGGAGAAAGCAGCGGCGTTGGCTCGTACGGTGGTGGAGCTATCGCGGAGTTTGTGCTGAGATTCGAAAAGACTGGGCGTGGCTAGCCGGCGGCGGGGCTCGAAGTCGGTGTTTCAGCGGGGAGGATGGTTAAGCATGCGGTAGCAGCGCCTGTGTTCGTGTCTTAAACCCAACACGTCGACAGTCGCTGGGCGTAGTGGGATTCCAGAATCCAGATGTGCGAGTGCTACCCGAAAGTGTCGGGATTCATGGTCAGAGGCACAGGGAATCACCTTGCTTTGAAAATGCAAGGTCCCCCACGGTCGAAATGACCCTTTTATGGTAAGTTCCATCAAATACTCATCACTCTGTGATCCCCAAGTCCAATATTCTTCGCTTGGCTTGCCATTTACAAACAAATGTAAACACCTTACGTCATTTACCTTCGTTTCCTGGGTCGAATTCGTCTGCCAGAAACAAACATATCACAACACTGGGTGATCCGGCTCCCTACGCGTCCGCCGTTCTCTGCTTTCCCTTCATATGCTCTTCCTACTAATAATTCCCTGTGCTCCCTTCCCACACACATGTCCTCCTGCCACTTGTTCCTTCATTGCCACTACCCCCCGTCGTCCTCCCTCCTCCCCCACTGTCCTTATGCACTTTTCGGTAGCCCTACTCATCATTGCTCGCAGACATTCTCTTTTTGATCACCACGGTCTCCTCTTTATCTTCAATACACCGTCCACACCCAGCACATCCCTCGTAGCATGATTTGCCGCGCGACTGTGACAATAATACCGACTGGGACATTAACATCCTCGCTGCCGACGACATCATTGCTACCGCTCGTCAGACCGTCTTCCCCTCGAAGCACTCGGCTCTAACCTGTGCTGGTGAGGCATTCCGTTTCTTCCGGGCTTCCCGTACTCTCTCTAATCACATGTGCAGCCCTTTTCATTTCCTGCCTTATGCCATTTCAACGCTCAAATTTCAACGTCGACTTCGTGCTTGTGCGGTAAAGTGGGGGTGTTTAGTAGATGCAAGGAGCGGTCGAAGGTGCGTTGAATTCCATCTCGTTGTCGTTTCCATGTTCATTTGTATCCCACATAGCGCTATCTGCTATCCAGCACTGTCGGCAGTTGTTAGATGCTGTAATATATTGTATGTTCCTTCTCGCCTTTTCTCCCTTTCTCGCCTCTTGGTGTCCACCGTCAGCTTATCCAACCGCTCATCTTCTTTCCTCAGTTTCTCGGATGGGTGTGTTGTGAATAGCCCACTACAACAGGGGTGTTCAGTGCATGCGCACAACTGTGTTCTGTTCAGGGCATCAGTCATGAGTAGGTTTTGTATCAGGTTGAAGGCGGCCGTTGTGTTGACTAGCTTGGCAGTGTTCCGCAGCGCAGACATCGACCAACTTGAACGAGACTTCGTTCGAAAATTATTTCAGGGCAATGTTTGCTCACTGCTGCGTGAAATGATGCTGGACTTCTGGCAACGATACCCTGCAGGTCAACCTATCCTTGTGTACAAATTCGACGAATTTCCTGCGATTTTTGTATGTGTGGATTTGGAACAGTGCAGAGGAGACGGTAGGATAAGTGATTGGGGTTCAGCGAAACCCTTTGCTCTCATAAACCAGTGTAGCGGCCGCCGAGTAACATTGGATCTGGCCGTGGTCAACGTGGGTAGAGGGTGTGTCAGTTGGTTGATTCCGTGTTGCTCAAGCACACCAATGAACAGGCAATGGTGGAGAAACGGAGTGCTAACGGACATATTTCATGCGTGATAGAACAAACTTAAAAATTGCAAATCATTTACTCTTTTCAATATGTCAAAGCAAGGTTGGTCAGTCGCCGCGGAGCTGGCGGCACCTTGTAAGCTAGTCGAGGTCTAATGTCTTGCCTGGACTCTTTGTGGGCTAGGGAGCAATATCGATGAGTAAAAGGCGAAGAAGCGATTCTGGACGACGCACACGTCAACGGTGTCGCAGGTAATATTTCTCGCAGGAGAGATGCCAGGCTGCGGGGGACGGAACACCCGCAGAAAGCATGTGGGCAGAGACCGGGGCGAAGAGCGTCGGAAGAGGAAGGAAGAAAATTTTCAAATGATCATGATCGACATGTGTGACGACTTCCTTTTTCGGCGGATCATGGTTGTTCCCGACCACCACGACGGTCTTCTCGCCAACGTCACCGCTGTGGGCGACGCCTGGGCGCTCCATGCGGCTTCGCTGTCGCTGGGCACGAAGCGAAGCAGAAGGTGTCCCGACTGCACGATGCACATGCGCAGGGTGGTCTCCGCCACCGCCGACCGGAATCGCCCGCACTGGCACACGACTCTCGCTCAGGCGGCTTCCCTTCTTCTATGTGGTGCTACCGCTTCAAGATAGTGCCAAGTTCCCGGCATAACATCTGTCAAGCTTCTGCAATCAGCTCCTCCACTGGCACTTTCGTCTTCGAGTTTCTCTCCGTGCACGAGTGGACGTCAGTAAGCAACGCATTACTCTTCCAGTCCAATCCGGCTTCTTGTCACCCTCTCATGCTGCTCTTCTGGATGTGACAGCGAGTACCACGACTTGCGCCGATTTCCTCCGAGTCTGTCACTGTCCCCTCAACGAACAAACAATTTGCATGCCCCAAAATCGGCCTGTGGCATACGAATTCGGCCAGACTTGTACTTTCCCTGCCGGAATTTCGGCCACATTATCTCTGCGCTGGATTCTCGTTCAAGGCAAAAGCAGCTTATCACCTTCAGGTCCGTTAATCTTTTGCTCATCCGTTCGATTCATGTATGACATTGGTCCCTAGTTTCGATATATTGGCTATTTTTGGTCTCACTATCTCGCTTGCTGTAATACCCTATCGTATGGGAAGGAAGCGCCATGGTGCATGTCGTCCAAACGCTGGAAACCCGTCCTCAGCTATGGTGTGAGTACAACTAAGTACACGCCACCGCTGGCAGTATATCCATCCGTTCTCTACCCCGCGATCTATCCCACTATCTCAACTCCACTTCACGTTCGGACATCCACGACGGCGCCGAAAGCCGAAGTCGCACGCGATTCCACGCTAGGCATGGAAGGGATCATAGTATCAAAATCAACAAACAGCCACGGACTTGTATTGTCGCTATCACATCATTCAATTTTCGCCTGTCATGGGCGTCACCTTCTCTTTTTCCTGGCCTTGCCTTCTCTGTGGGCCCGGCGATTGGGTCTAAAATAGCCAACACCGTTTGGCGTGCCACTGCGGTGATAACACAAGCGATATTTCCACCAACCACAGTGACTGCCAGAACCAATTCTTGCCGCTGTCGACGTCGTCGCCTATGGCGTGGGCGGGCCCAGACTCGCGCGATCGTGGACACTCAATTGGTCTGCGGCGTCCTTCTGTCGCCCGAACGTCGCATTCGCAGTTGTAATTGGGAGTTGTGCATTCCTCCTGTTGCCATTGCTAGCTTCGGAAAGTCCGCTATCCGGTTTACTGGGTCTCAATCCCGCGACATCGTGGCGTCGGTATCTGCGCCGTGCGCCACCGCCCTCCAACTATCGTTAGCACGAACTGCCCGAGAAGTATATTTAGGTCTCGACGGTGACCGGGATCACCTAAATTGCTTATCGCGTCTTTTGTCATTAATATTGACTAGCGCACATCATAACCCAAGGACGACTGCGTGCGAAGGACCTGCCCTTTCCGGGACTGGGGGCGCCAACTGCCATGACCAACATACCAGTCAAGGACAGTTATTGCCTTCTGGCTGGCGTAGATGTACGGCCTGCAACTACAACCTGCGCACGACCGGGAAGATGCGGGTCCGGGCTTATACCATCAGTCGTCCGATTCGTGGCCGGGGGACTGGGGGTCGGTGAGCACTGGCACGTGTCACCGGACTGAACTTGCAGTTGATCAGCTAACAGTGGTAAAGCCACCGGACCGGCGCGTTTCGGACAGAAGCACACCTAGGATCGCCCGCTTCGATGTCTGCTGAATCGCATTCGTATTGCACTGCATAGTGTCAAGTGCCCGACGCGTCACAACACAGCGAATGCTAATGCCTTCTCTGGATGCCAGTGTCCCAGGGCCAAGAACAGGACAGCTATTAGGCGTGCGATCCAGGACATTGGGCTGACAGACTCAGACAGAGGAAGGCACATCATGATGAGATAGTTGGGATTCGAAGCCTTCTCCCGCAACCAGCTGGCAGCGGCCCTATTGAATGCGGACTTTGAACTGGTGCCTGCCGTGCTGATCAGGCGTCGGCTAGCGGCAGGTCCCGCAGTTCGGACGTGCATGGGCAAATATCGCGCAGCCGCAATTTATTTCATTCCCTGGACCTTGATGTTTCACTGCCTCGTGCAGATTGATGTTGTAGCCGTTGAAGCCCGACCGTGTACAGATGCGGAGAATCTCCTCATTTGATGGTCTCGTGCCCTGCCCCTCATGATTGCCAGTGATCGAGGCTGAATCAGTAGGTATCCGCGTTCCTGGACCTCTATTTATGGTTTTACGCGGAGCCACAGTACTGAGCATGAACCATTTGTCTCTAGTCACATGACATGGTTCCAAGTTCAGTTCAGTCTCTAAGAAGACTATCAAAATGAGAGTTAAAGATTAAGCATACATATTGCTGATTGAAATACTTGAAGCACAGAAAATAAATATATTTCTTATGGTAACCATAGGCTCCTTAAAATACTGGGGGCATTTTAATCAATTCCACAGTCATAGGGGAGATATACTGCAAAGAAAGATTAGGTACAACTTTAATCAATACACATAAAAGATAAGTATACTATATGTTCCAATTTGACATAACTATATGGGCAATATACTGTAACATTAATTAACATCATCCTGATGAAATTAACATGGATAAACTTTGGACAACTTCAATATCTGACAACTTTTTTACATACAAGTGGTAATTGTCTCCAGACAACTTGGCAAACTCAGGCTGCTAGGACAACTTTTATATGGGACAACTTACCTTGAGGACCACTTGGTTAGGGTATCAGACATGTTGGAAAAAGACAACTTCAGTGCTAGACATATTGATTTCACCCAAGAGCAACTTTTCTTCAAGATGGTATAACTTTTTTGGCCTAAGACCAAAGGGGGTTCAAGATTCGAAACATGGATATAGGGTTGGAAAGTTTTTTTTCAACCCTCTGGCCATGGGGACCCCCCTCCCCTCCTGCCATATATAGTAATATATTCTCACAATCAATGTTATGTGACCACTGATGCGATCAAAAATTGGGATAAAAAATTCAATCTTTGTGAAACTTTTTTTTGCAAAAAATTTTGGTTCAACTCTACCCCGCTCACTCTGCTTGTGGGCCCAATGATCTGTCTATTCTGTTCCAGGTGCACATTCTTAGGAGAAGCCTTGCACGGCCCAACCCAAAGCCTGACAATTTCTCCGCTATAATACAATATAAAGTAAGATGTAAACCTGTAGATACCTGGAGGGTACCTGTACAGCTTAGGTATGAAGGCTAGTATCTGTCAGCATCGGGCTCGGGCCGTATCGTCGGGTGGTCCGACTGTGAGTAGGTCTGAGGAGCACGAAGTGGGGTTTAAGCCCAGATATCTGAGGCAGGTACAGACTTAGCATGGTTTAGTACAAGTCTTGTAGGGTGCAGAAGTTACCCAATTAGTAATGCAAAAGTCACAAGGGTTGTGATCTTAGCTCTGTTTGAATCCACTTTCAATATGTGCATGCAACTCCTAGATCACAAGCCAGAGTCATTGGAAATGCTTATCAAATCTTCAATATGTCAAAACCAGATACCAGAGATACATACTAGAGAGACAGGTCTTAAATTAAGACAGATTGGCCAGTATTACGAAAACCTATACTCTTATATTTTGATGATTTTGTCAAGCCTTGCAATTTGTCAGATGTTTCCCATTAGGGAATTTTGGCGCTAGATCTGGTGAAAATCGCCTTTTCAAGACAGGTCTGGGGCTGAATTCAAGATGCATGACTGACAAGCTCTGATTAAAATGGCACAGTATTACCAAAATGTAGATACTGTCTAGCCTCAAACCAGGCGTTCTCAGAGAGGTTTCGTCCATCAACTTCGGTCACGTTTTGTCCATATTTGGTAGCTAGATCACAAAATCAGTAAAAATTGATGGACGAAACCTCTCTGAGAACGCCTGGGGCAGTTCAATCGCACGACCCCCCATCGAGTCACAGTTTGATCACAACCATTAGGTTTTCACCCCCCTTAAAACATTGCATGACACATTTTTTTATGGACAACACTTTGGTTCACAATTAGCTACCTGTCTATGAACTTTTGGATGGCCACCCCCCAATGCGAGCTCAAATTCCAAGTGTGATTTTGCAGGGTGTGACTCGATGGGGGTGTCATCAATTGGATTGCCCCAGACGTTCTGGTGAGGTCACCGTCCATCAAATTACTGACATTAGGTGATCCGATTACCATAAACGTCTGGTTCGAGACTAGATACTGTCTCATAATGTAGGGAATTTTGATATCAGATATCATGGATATCAGAGACACTAGAAACCTTAGGAACATAATCGCCTGATTTGGAGGGCATGGTTGTGTTCGGATGTAGCATTCTGCGCTATGCTTGATGTCGAACCTCTGTCATGCCATAC